CCTTCTTGATGTCATCAGTTATTATAGCTCATTTTCCACTAAGTAGGGGACCTACACTTTCTGTCATCCTTCTCCAGCTCCTAATGTATTTATAGAATCTCTGCTTATTGCCTTTTCAGTCCCTTGCTAGATATAACTCATTTTGTGCCTTAGCCTTTCTGATTTCATCCCTGCGTCCTTGTGCTATTCTTTTAGACTCCTCCTCAGCAATTTGTCCACGTTACCACTTTTTTTGTAGAATTCTTGTTTGATTTTCAGCTCCTTAAACAGCTCCTAATGGAGCAACACTGGCCTCTTACTATTCGTCCTATCTTTCTTTTGCATCCTCCTCAAAGTTACGCAGGGTCTGTTCTTTATTTCCTTCAGCATATTCATACCTATGAGTGGGATAGAAAGGTGGATGGATCCAGTCATTGTCTATGAAATATTCCTGTAGCAGGGCAGAAAGCCTTTTCCCCTCTGCACCTGCAGCATTGTTCAATAGGCCAAGTGCAACGCGGGGTTTGTTTTCCTCAGTGGGATACTGGACTCATTGGCCCAATGGTCAAATGCTGTCCAGCAACCCCTATACATGACTTTTAAAGAAATGCAAGATTCGTCTGGGTAATCAATGTTTTCAGACATCCGTGTCTCAGGGTCCCAATTGTGACTTTGATGGGGTCAGTGAGGAATGCATCAATGTCAGAGGACCTGTGTCAAGTCCTTCCATCCCCATGTCCTGAATCAAAGAATGTTGGCCCACTGTGTTCTCTGCAGAGGGTTGGTCTTGCCAATAAGCCAGGCAAACAGCTGGTCTTTAAATAACATCTAGAGCCAAGATGGAACCCCCTCCCTGAAGGTAGAGCTGCCAGCAAAGCAGGGAAGGGATTGAAGAGCCAAAACCAAAGTCAGGGGAAGGGCTGGGCACAGAGTGGGGAAAAGGTTTTCATCAGTTTGCTGAACTGCTAGGGAGAAGCCCCACAGCTGACAAACGCTCCCCTTTCCTGAAACCAAACACAATGGCTTAACATCCCAACCACATGGGAGACAGCCAATATCATTCTCTAGGAACACAGGCGCAGAGGCAGCAGGCAGGACTAGCCATTTAAAATAACCAAAGACTTAGGATGTGGCACTTTCCCCCCTGCAGGACACATGTATATTTCAACCTTCCAACCAGCACCCAGTCAGTTATGATTTTTACTAGCAGCTGCTCCTCCAGGGAAGAGATGCACCTTGTTTACAATGGTGTCTTGTTCATTATTACGTGGCTCAGCCCAAAAGAAAGAACGATGCATTCACGGGTGCCTCGATTATGGTGTTGAGGTGCCTGGCAGCTTAGGCATAGGAGCCATGAGACAGGCTGGGGAAGTAGGAGACAGTCTGGTCCAGTGGATAGGGCACTGGTCTAGAACTCAGGAGACCTGGCTCTGCTAATGACCTGCCATCTGACCTTAGGCAAAGCCCTTCACCTTCCTGTGTCTGTTTCCCCCATCTCTAAAATGGAGACAATGCTACATACCCTCTTTTGTGAAGTGCCTAGAGACTTACAGATGTAAAGAACTAAGATGGAGTGGAATTAGCAGTAATAACATGCTGGGTATTTGTGGAAGGGAAGGAAGGAAGCGATGGGATGCAGAGAAGGAATGGGTGCCTCTAAGGTACTGAGGGCTGGGCAGGTTGTGAGCAAAGGGTGGCTGGCAAGGTTCTGAAAGGCGAAGGCAGCTGTAGAGGCTACAGTCTATCACTCGGACTACAGCCCCTCCTCTCTAAGGCCCTGTCTTTACAAGAAAGTAGCACCAGTTTAAATTCAATCTCATTTAAAACCATTTAGTTAAACCAGTGCAATCCCCTTTGTGGACACTCTTATAGCAATTTATTTTAAACCCATTTCTAATCAATTTAAAATAAACTGAAATAAACCTTGTTTAAACCAAAACAAGAATCTCCCCATTTGCATTGCTTTAAGTCACAGCATAACTCTAAATGAGGTTTAAATTCACCTCTTAAAATGAATGGGGGGCAACTTTCTTGTGTAGATAAGTCCTAAGGGTTCTGCTGCTGCATCATATGAGGAAGAGGAGGAGAGAAAGCTTTCACTGCTCAGATCCAGGCTACAGGAAGGTGCTTCAACACCCCCTCAGCTTTCGCCTGCCCTTTCTGCCCATCAGGGCCAAGCAGATGATTCAGAACAATAGCTCCATCTCCCAACTACAAAGCTTAACAATACTTTACATGCCCAAAGAGTAGCTACTTCTGTCTGAGGATCTCAAAGCGCTTTGAGAACACTAATGAATTACTCATTTCACACAGCCACTGAGGCCAAGCGTTTAGGAGAATTCAAGAGAGGATTAGACTTTTAGTCATACTTACTATTAAGGTTCCATTTATAAATTGGTTAATAAAAAATAATAATAATAAAATCTAGCTCTTATGTAGCAAATGGTTTGTAGATGCTCTAAGCATGTTACAGACAGGAGTGGGCATGTCATAGAAGGTTATAAGCACATTGCTAGAAGATAATGTAGATTATTGTAAGCTATAGTTATAAGCAGGCTATTAACCTCTTGGACTCGGTAACAATCTATAACAAGTGAGCGCCTGTTTATTAAACACCTATTAATCACTTTTTAGCCCTTTCTGAACAGAACATAAACTATGAGCAGACATTTATCTGGCTCACCAGAACATCTCCAGTTACAGCAGGTATCAGTGTTAACAGGGATATAAATTCTCCTGCTTCAGGGCGGAAGCCAGCCACTAACTGATGGAGGTTGAGAAGAAACATCCTCCTTGAAGGAGGTTATTCCAAAACTGTCCCCTGTTGGGTTTCTTGCATCTTCCTCTGATGCATCTGGTGCTGGCCACTGTCAGTATGGCAATTCCATCCTTAACTCCCCGTAAAGACGGGCAAATCGAGGCAGAGCAGCCAACCGTCTCCCTCAATGTCTTAGAGCGAGTCAGCAGCAGAGCTTCGAATTGAATCCAGGTCTCCTCACTCTGTGTCGTGTGTCCTAGCCACTAGGCCATGCTGCGAATGCAGTTTGCCCCAAAAACTGCTTGGTGAAAGGCCCCATTTATAGGTTTTGGCTGGAACGACCGTTTGTTTAATGCTGGGTCTTTGTGTTCCTCTCATCGGAGCAGACAGCCTCCCTGTAGTGCAGGAGCTCCCCCCCAAGACACTTCTAATGGGAAAGCAAATCACAGAGATGGAATGTAAGGCTGGCTCCAAGAAGGGGCCCTGCTCTCCAATTATTCCAGTCAAATCACAGCAGCATCATAAGGGGAACAAGGGTGGATGTTACAAGCAGGCAGGGCATGGGTGCACCAAAGCACCAATAAGGTGCGGCAACAAGAGCTGAAGAGGGAACTGAACTGACCTGACCTGTACACAGAAGCAACTAACAGGACTTCACCTGCTTTGTGTAGGTCACAGACAGCACATCGGAGATATCCGCACCGTGCAGGTGTTGAAGGAAGAGGTTCCAGAACAACTGCATTAATACTCACACTTCAGGCACCTGCAATCACATTCTACCCTGAAACCATACACTGGGGCCTATCCCACCTGAGTGACAAGCCAGGGCACAGTCCCTGCCGCTCTCCAGTGATACCACAAAGATCCACCAGCTGGCACATGGCAGACAGCAGAGAAGATGGAGATATTTCAATAAGCAAACTGATTTTCAGGCTGGGGGGGGGGGTAATATAAACAGTGAGCTCCCATTCATGCAGGCCTTTACTGCAGAAGGATTTAGGTCATCTTCTAACCTGAGCTAATAGGCATCAAACAGAGAAGCATTACACAGCCAACCTAGGGGCAAAGAACAAGCATCTGCACGGAAAGATTGCAGATCGTTCCAGGATGACTGTAGAGTGTTCCTGAGTATCAGAGAATAAAAACTGAGCTCCATACTCAGCAGCCAGCAGTCTGTTCTACGTGCCACTAAATGCATCACCAGGAAACGTGCCACTTGGTATTACAGCACAGGTTTGTTAAATGGCTAAATCAGGGGTTCAGAGTTTGTTTTCTGGCTTCCTCACCCAGGGAACCCCTATGACTGCTGGGTTCACAACTAAACATGGAGTCTTTTCATTAAAAAAATGGATTAAAAGCATTATAGAAAACCTTTTCAGGTGTGAAAACTCAGTTTCAATAACGGTTGGGATAGCGTTTTCAATAAAAACTGTGACAAACGTAGATTTAAAAGGCCAGAAGGGACCCTTACAAACAGCTAATCTGACCCCTGTATAGCACTGGCCTAAATTCCCTCTAAGCTGCGTAGCCACGCAGCAGGCTATCAAGGGCCGCGCAGGTGGGGAGAGGTAATAAGAACATAAGAACGGCCATACTGGGTCAGACCAAAGATCCATCTAGCCCAGTATCCTGTCTTCCGACACCCCAGAGGGAGTGAACCTAACAGGTAATGATCAAGTGATCTCTCTCTTGCCATCCATCTCCACCCTCTGACAAACAGAGGCTAGGGACACCATTCCTTACCGATCGTGGCTAATAGCCATTAATGGACTTAACCTCCATGAATTTATCCAGTTCTCCTTTAAACGCTGTTATAGTCCTAGCCTTCACAACCACCTCAGGCAAGGAGTTCCACAAGTTGACTGTGCGCTGTGTGAAGAAGAACTTCCTAAAACAAATAAAAGGAAGTTCTTCTTCACACAGCGCACAGTCAACTTGTGGAACTCTCCCCTGGCCCTGGGCTGCTGTGGCGAGAGGGGGCTTGGGGAGTCCTCTCTCCCCACCGCAGCCCCGAAGCAGCCTGCACCCCAAACCCCTCATCCCCAGCCCCACCCCAGAGCCTGCACCCCCAGTCAGAGCCCTCTCCCACCCACACACCAACCCTCTGTCCCAGTCCTGAGCCCCCTCCCACACGCCAAACCCCTCGGCCCCACCCCTGCCACACATCACCTCCATATTGGTGCACATAACAAAATTCATTCCACACATGGACATAAAAGATTAGAAGGAACATAGGCACTGGCCACAAATTTCCTCCAGTTACCCCTGTATTGAGCACATTAACTTGTACTTGACTACAGCATATCTCCCAGACAGGCATCCAGTCTCCATGGAAAAGACTTTCATCTGTGTTCTCTTCATTCAAACTTGTAAATAAGAGCTGGTCGGAAAATGAAAAATTAGTTTAATGAAAAACATCTCAGCCATTCTGACTGAGAGACATTTTAAATGGAACCTTTTTTTAATTTTTGAAATTTGTATTTCAAACATTATCCAAAATGTTATTGACACTGGGTTTTTGCAACCAAACAGTTTGGGTAACCATTTTAGTAGCGCTTTTTTTTAAATTACATTTTTTGTGAAACATCATAAAAATGTTTTGTTTTTCCATGAAAAATTTAGATTTAAAAAAATGGATCAAGAGGCCACTTTTTGATGGAAATTTTTTTACTCCAAACATTTTGACCAGATCTACCCCTAAGGAACAAACCAACTCATGTAGCATGTACCACATCCCTCTGTTCCCAACATGACAGAAAGGTCCACACAACTAACTACAGGGATGGAGCTTGGGGAAGGAGGAAGGAGGGGATGGTTGGTCAGGAACAAAGCAAAAGCATTTCAGGCGAGTGTCTCAGCACACCGCTTTCCCCCAGTGTGAAGATGGTTTCATCCCCCAACCCCCTATGCGCCACTCACCCTGTTGATGGCCACTCTGGCCCTGTAGAAAGTGGTGGACCCCTCGTTGTCGGGGATGGCTCAATTCCCCCTGAGAAAGAACACAGAGAAGGAGTGAGAGAAGACAATGAGGTCTGGTTTTGTAGAGAGGGTAGCACTAAGAACATAAGAACAGTCATACTGGGTCAGACCAAAGGCCCATCTAGCCCAGTATCCTGTCTTCTGACAGTGGCCAATGCCAGGTGCCCGAGAGGGAATAAACAGAACAGCTAATCATCAAGTGATCCATTCCTTGTCGCTCATTCCCAGCTTCTGGCAAACATTCTCTTAACACAATTTATAATTAGGCTTGGCAGCATTCAATTTTTACTTTTTTAAATAATTTTCATGGATAATTTCAATGTTTATTTTTAAGATTTTATATTTTTATCGATTTTAAATTTTCAGAGTTATGGGAAATATGGGGGCGGGGGTCAATTATTTAGTAATCGACGCTGAGATTCAAAAAGTTAAAACATTATAAATCGTTACAACACAAATTGTCAACATCACGTGTCAAAATATACAAAATAAATACCCTTAAAGCAACAAATCATACCTGTTTTTACTATCCATTCGCTAGTCCGTTTATAATCAGCCTAATTCAAAAGTCTAAATCACTGGATTTTGACTAATAAGTTCTCCAGCAACATTTTCCTTATTTTGCTTATTGGTGGAAATATTTGTTGATTTGGTTTGGTTGGATATCGACGTTTACCGACATATACCAATAAAAAAAAACTAATCCTTCCAAGCCTATTTATCATTATTAATTATTTGTATTATAGCTGCTTCTAGAAGCCCCAACTGAGAAGAAGGCCCAACTGTGCAAGGCACCACACGCAGTCCCTACCTTGAAGAGCTTACAGGCTAAACAGACTAGACAAAGGACGGGAAGGGAAAGAGACAAGGAGGTGAAGTGACTTGCCAATGAAGGTCATACAGCAGGTCAGTTGCCAGAGCTGGGACTAGTGTTCTAAGTCCCATATCCACAGGGCCGCACTGCCTCTCAAAACTGGGTAACACGGTTTGCGCCCACATCTGGTTACTTGCAACCCCTGCTTTAAGGGTGTTATAGAAGCTCGGATACTACAGTGATGAGGGCCATACAAATCCCTAGAGATAGTGGAGTACCATTGGCGTAAAGTGGAAGAAGTGCAATTGGGATTGCTGCCTGTGGCAGTCTGTGGGAGGAGTTACTGGGAAGTAAATTGTGTCCCTCTCAACAATACAGGGTCTTGCACATTCTTTTACACCAGAGTGGCCTAGTGGATAGGGCACTGGAGTAGGATTCGGGAGACCTGGAAATACCCTTAGGTACACTAGGCTTCTCTCTCTGGAGACCACAGTTCAAGTTCTGGGGTTGGGCCACAAGAGGAAATGAGTCGGGACCAGAGGGGTCTCATCTCAATCTCTAATGGGCCATCTAGGGAAAAAATAGCACCACAGCAGCCTCTCCATTCAAGAGAGGCCCTGGACTGAGACAGCCGCGGCTGGAGATGCGCTGTCACAGCTGATGGTGAGAGAGGCAGGGGGTATCAGGGAGCGCCACAGGTCAGGATTATGATGCGGATTTATGTGTTGGCAGCGGGGCAATAGGGGAAACCAGGAACGAGTGCACTGGCAGAGATGCGAGGGGGCAGCTCTCATATTGTGTGTCAAATTCTAGACGCTTTCATAGACTTTTTTTTTTTTTAAATAAGTCGTCTAACTGACACGATCAAATCCCTTCCACAGTATCACCACCAGGCTCATTTAGCAACTCGAAGCCAAGTAGGTGGATCTGTCTGTTTTTATTTAGTCGCTGGTGTACATCCTTGGTTATGAGCTCAACAGGGATGCGAGGGAGGATGGAAGTATTGCAGGAGTGATTTAGAGCAGCAAACAACAAAATCTCCTTTGCAGCCCCAGTGCGCTCAAAGGCTTGGGAAAATGCAGATGAAAAGCAAGCGAACCATGGTGCCCCCATCTCAGGACGCTGAGGAAGGATGGGCAGCTGGGAGAGGAGATAAAGACAAGCAGTCAGGCACCTGCCGCTGGGATCCCCCCTTTCCCTCCCTCCTTCCCATTGGGGTACGTTATTAACACAGGGACACAAGGATCCCCCAGCTGAATGACTCTGCTGCAGCTAGCAAGCATGAATATGCATCAGTTATTATGTAGCAGCTGATCCCATGCCCGCTGCTGATTTACAGGCCGAGTGGGATTGCTAAACAAATCCCTTTTTCACCCCCCACATGCTCACGCTGGCCTCTCTGTCCTGTACTGACAGGTGCTGTGAATTAACGGGGAACGCCGGGATTGGGATGGGAAGAGAAGACAGCTACTCCATCACTGAGTGCAAAGCAGGGAAAGAGATGGGCGAGGAGCTGTCTGGAACAGCCCAGGGATGCACTGAAGGGTCTCCTTCCTGTGTAATGCTGCACAGAGTAGGAGAGACGGGGCAGAGTGCCTGGAAGGGACATCAGAGTCCACAGGCTCCAGGGCTCCCAGTCACCTCTACAGTGTTAGTGTTGGTGAAAGGTGCCAGACTGACATCCCTGAGTCTTCTGTCTGGCTATGTCAAAACAGGCGCCGCAGCAGCGTAAGCTCCTCCCCACGGCCACGCCTGCCAGCAGCAACACCGGGCTGGGGGGACCACTACTAGAGGTCAGGAGGCAATTAAATCTCCATGCTCATGCAGCTCAGAGCACTGCCCAGGGAGCCAATTAATGCTAATTCGTCCTGGACGGATACCACTGACTCAGTGTGTGTGCACTACTGAGAGGCCACCCCCAGCAAGTGTTTGATCGAAAGGGGAAGGAAGAGTGGGTTTAAGGTTAAGGCACAAGACTGGGAGTCAGGAGACTCCCAAGTGCTGTTCCCAGATATACCGCAGGCTCACTTTGTAGTCCTGGGTAAATCAAACAACTGGATTTTTGGAGGCCCTCAGTGTTGGTCTAAGTACATGCTCACCGAAGCAGGGTGGATAAAAATCAATTAATAAATAAATCTGTTTTCATTTAAATCAGTCTTTTTATAAATTAACCTATTTAATTTATTATTTAAATTTGAAATTATGGCAACCTATGTTAAGGCCTAAACTTACTATCATCCATTCAAATCATTTCAATTAAATTAAGACAAATATTCAAGCAGTACATGTTTGCTACCAAAGTTTTAAAGAAATTCAGAATACCAAACTGGTGGAAGTCACTGGCTAAGCACCTGGAACATGAGACTGCAGAAGTGCTAAACCAGCTTTTGACAGCAGTAGCCTCTTCCGCAGGTACAGAGAGAATATTTTCTTCATTTCAGTTGATGAAACTAGTGCAGTTCAATGACTAGCTCATAGGACAGACTGATTTAAATCATAATTTAAACCAAACGGAAAGCCTCAATTTAAATCACTGATTTTAAATCAATTTTTCCATTTGTACTTCAGTTATTGTCTTTAAAAAAGGTGCACTCTCAATAGCAGATATAACCATTGAATCATGTTGATTTACAACTCAATAGAGCCTTTATGCTAAATTTGGTACATCTTTTTGCCACCTCGGAGGGGACACTAACTATACACATTTATTGACACAATTATATAGCTTAAAGTTTTGATTCTTATTAACTGTACATTTTTAAGTATCAGAGGGGTAGCCGTGTTAGTCTGAATCTGTAAAAAGCAACAAAGGGTCCTGTGGCACCTTTAAGACTAACAGAAGTATTGGGAGCATAAGCTTTCATGGGTAAGAACCTCACTTTACTTGCATCTGAAGAAGTGAGGTTCTTACCCACGAAAGCTTATGCTCCCAATACTTCTGTTAGTCTTAAAGGTGCCACAGGACCCTCTGTTGCTTTGTACATTTTTAGTAAGTCAGAAAATGGTGAGTGATATATTGCTTATTGACTAGATAATTAACTTAATAGGGTCTTTTTTATGACTTGCAGTCATAGCAGGTTTTTTCCCCTCCAGTTCCCAGGTGTTGAAATCAACACTAGAGGCTGCCCGCTGATGAACGTTGTCCCTTTTTCCTCACTTTGATACCAGCATTGCTCCTTTCTGGTTGCACAGAGTTCACTAAATACAGAGAATACTTTTGTTTAATATGTCAGTTTTAAATACAAAACATGGTTGGATAATTTTTTCCTTTATAAATCCAGCACATTTAAGGTAGATTTATTTAACTAATAAAAAACAATTTTAAAATGCTAGTTTTTGAAGTTTAAAACTGAATTCTAATATCCATCCAAATATGACGTAATAATGGCACCTTGCTCTTAGAGTGCACTTTTCAGCCATAGATCTCAAAGCACTTTACAAAGGAAATCAGTATAATTATCTCCAAATGCAGCTTGGACACAAATCACAAATAAAAAGATAACTTATTAAATACGAAATGCATCATTCACCATTATCTAACATAATAAAAATTAAAAAGAATCTGAATAAAATTATCTTAAGCTAGATAATTGCTTAAATAAATGTGTATAGATATAGTACAGAGGTTCTCAAACTGCGGTCCATAGACCACCAGTGGTCCGCGAGTTCCATTCAGGTGGTCTGCAGACAGCTCCCTCTAAGGTGCACACCTGGGCAGCCGCACACAAGAGAATGAAGGGCCACCCACCTAATTAGTGGAGCCGCACAGGCGTGGCTCCACTAATTAGGTGCCTGGCCCTTGAGAAGACGCACATGTAAGGTGAGGTGGTGGCCTTGGAGGAAATAAGGGGTAGGTGGGAGGGAGCAGTGGGGTGAGAAGAGGGGGTGAGTGGAATTTGGGACATGCAGGGCTGCGGCGGCCAGAGAAAGAGGTGACTTTCCCCAGCTCCAGGGCTGCGGCTGCCGGAGAGAGACGGCCCTCCTTCCCAGCCTCAGCTCCGTGGGTGCTGTGGCGGGGGAGAGACCCCCCCTTTCTCAGCCCCAGCTCGGGGGCTGCCGTGGCAGGGGAGAGAGGGCACATCCATCACATTAGAAAGGTAAGACTACAGATATTAAAATATGAGTTGCGTGCTTTTATTTGTAGAACAAAAAAACGTTAATTATTATTAAGTTTGTTTTTTATACAGTGCTTTTAT